ATTGATGCTTAGCTGCAGCAAATACCAACACAGCGCTTCTGGCTGTATCATACTGTGATACAAGTGAAGCTGCAGACGCTAAAATAAAAAGAGAACAATCTACTGCCCATTTAAGTGGCAGCTGCTCTGGATGACTGCGGTGCTGCCCAGCAAATTACTGAGCAGGCAGAGGCACAATTCCCTGGACCGCGTGTTAATCGCCTGCATCCAGAGTGTGAGCACAGAGAGACCCTGCAGTAATGTGGTGTGGGAGCACAGGCTTTAGGCTGTGGTATAATAAATCTCCTTGCCTACAGCCTGACACTGTTTCTTCACCAAAGTTATACCAAACTTGCAAAGCAAGAACTGTAAGAGAAGGTAAGCAAAACTGAAATGAGAAAGCTAGGTCATGGCAGAAGTGATTTTAGGCACAGTTTTCCAAGTATAAAAGGCAGACTAAAACAGACTCTACGTAGTTAACAGTGGGCATAAATAGAGTAACAGAGGCCATCTGACAAAAGCACAAAAGCATGAAAACTGCCAAATATGCGAGTGCATCAGATGTTAATGATGATCAAACCTTATACAACAGATTCTGGAGAAGTCAGTGCCTTCACCCAGCATATGCCTGCACTCTATGTTGAACTGTAATTGAATCTTCCAAGATAGTCAGCTTAAAATTCAGATGTAATTGCAGTAACGTTTAAAAGCAGGTAGCAAGTGCCAATGGTTGGTTTCTTGTGTCCCCTACAAATTTGTTCAACGTCCTCACAAGATTGCTTCAGTCCTGGTGGCCCTTCAGAGACAACGCTCCTGTATCTTAAAATTTGATCACAACATGTGTAATTAGTCAATATGGCCTGTCTACACAGAAAGCAAATCTGTTTTACAAAAACAGTCTTCTTTTAGTGAAGACTCACAGCAGATAATATCTGAAGAGAGCTCTGAGCTTTAAAAATATGGCTGCATATTTCAGAGCTGAAGTACAAACCCATTTTCTCTCCCAGATGGTACCAATTTTGATGGAGATAGTTCAGTGATATCAACTAGCAGGCCTCAAATACCCAGCACAACCATTTTATATGCTTGCGCTGAATTTGACAGAACTTCCTTGTGCATAAAACTACTTCTGTGTGTGTTTGGGGTGGTGGTGGGAAGACACAGAGTGCTTTCTGACCTTGGCTTAACTAATGAGCACCAGCCAACCTTTAGTCAACTGACAGTGAAGACGTGGTTCTTTAGTTTTACCCAAATATGAACTCAGACAGACATAATTCTGCTTTTTGGGGCAAGACTCCCCATGTTTACTTCAATGGACGACCAAAGAGTCCTGTCTTGGCCATGAATTTTACCTGGGACAGCTGCAATGCATTAGTCACTGCAGATAAAAACTACCAAACAAATAAAAAGCCCACTTTTTTTTTTTTTCCCACTTGAAAAAAAAAAGCTAACCCCACCACGAAATTATCCAAGGGCTGAGGCCAATTTGTCAATACTTGAGAAATGCAGTACAGGTACACAGAGTAAGAAGACAGTAAATTCAGTGCTGAAGTATGGCCACCAACCTGGAGAACACTCTTAATGGAAGGCAAATGACCACCACCAGTGGTTTACTAATCTAGTTTGGACTCTCAGTACAAAACTGCTTTCAGATTTGTGCTATTGTTTGATCGTGCCTGGCAATACTATGGCAGAGGTCACTGAAGTCTCAAGGGTGAGAACACAGAGCAATTTACTGCTTTTCTAGCTCGCAACACTTTTCCATTGCACTGCCTTTAATGAGAACATCAAAACTAGGTAAGTCTCAGTGCACTGTAAATTTGCTGCCAGTTTACTGGGAAGATCCCAAACTGGGTGTTAAAGCTAAATCTTTAGTCTTCCAGAAATCACAGCTAGCTTGAAAACCAGTGGCAACTAGGAACAAACCCAGCACCCAGAACATTAAAACAGTACATACTGTTCAGTCATAGAAATCCACAGCCAGTTCTCCTGGGGACGTGTAGCGTCTTTTGCTACATTGAATTTTTTCTCTTTTATTATAGGATGCTGATATAAAACCCAGCAGCACACAAAAATAAACACAGGCAGTTGATAAAAACAAGAAGCAGGGCCTTGTGCCTGTCACTATGCTAGTTAGTGAGCATGCACATTAATTACTCAAATGCTGCTCCCCTTAATATTTCCACATGGCACAGTATCACTTTGATATTTAGGAACTCATCCACCTTTACCCAACTTCTAGCTCATCCAAGATTGAGGCATGTTCATGAGACAGACTGTAGGGTAGCAGAGACTTACAAGTGAACTTACCTTGGCAGCTACATTGTTCTTGGTCTTCAAGCTAGTTCACCTACCTTTGTGCTAAATATGTCTTGAGAAAAGCCAAGTGGCAGCTGAGGGTAGCCCTTTCTTTGACAGAGTTGGTCAGTGACCGTACCAAGGACCTTCCTTAGCCAAGTTTTCTATACTCCCACCAAGGATCAGCCCAGCCCCTGAGATATCATTAGCATCATGTGTCTCTGATCAGCAGTAAAATAAATCATGGCTATTATAGCTTTAGATTCCCATGGGCTCTCTGTTGGTATCCGCAAGGGACCATACGGTTTGAGACTCTACTACTGCCCATAGCAAATTTCCCCAGTAAAAATAAGGTCAGGCTTTGAAGAAAAAGTCATATTTTCTAAAGGACAGCAACATAAAAATGCATCTCTGATGCTTATTGATCTCAGGTCTGCTTTGCTAGTAGTGGCAAATCTTTGCCAGAACAATATGTCTTTAGAGTAGATTAATCCTAAAATATATATGACAAAGGCTTACCTAATCTAAACATAACCAAGTCTTCATATTATGCTCACTGCCAGTCCATCTGATTTTACAGGCCTTAAAATCCTTCATATAATTGAATCATGCTTGCTCCTGGAGAAGCTGTTTGGTTTTTTTTTTCATCTTAATGGTTCACATTTTTGTCTGAAAGTTGCTGCTATAAAAACACCTACTCCAGAAGATGATCCCATGGTGTCAGGTCAACTTCAGGGAAAGCTTCGCATTTCCCCCTTATCCTATTAGCCCATGAGGTTAATATTTTAGGTTTTAAAGAATAGAGTTACTCCACCAAGACCTGGCTGTTGCAGGGGGCCCCTCCTCACCAGAGTGTGGACAGTTCATAGCCAGACACATCAAACACAACTGATGTTAGTGGCTGGAGACTGGCCAACTCAAGAACACCCAAGTGTCCTTGCAAAGCTGGACATGATAGTCTGCGGCTGCAGTGACAAAGGCTCATTGTCCAATTTTCTCCTCCTTGCTTTCCCCAGGTTTCTATGTCCTTAAAACCAGCTGATCAGAATGAGAGAAGTACTGAAGGATTTGGGGAGCAGAAAAGGGAAACTTTACTAATCAATAAATTAAAAGGGGAATCTTGCAATCTACTCCACCCCAGATAGTCTCTTGTTTTCCCAAGAGACTTAGTTCTTTCATACAGCAGGCAGGTTTTAGTACTCTCTCCATAGGTAATCCCATCAATTAGCATCCACATAATTTGTTGTCCCATGTGGCAGCATCGATCAGGCCCTGTCTTGCAACAGTTATTGCTCAGTGCAGTTCAGGGGAGTGCTCCTCCTCTTCAGTGAGAATCCTGAGAATCCTGAACAGGCAAAGGATGAAGGAGACAGAGAAACATCAAATGGGCTAGGCTGCATTTATGGATCTTAGTAGATCATGGTTTAAAAATAACCAGGGAGGTTTTTCTGGTGCCTAAATGGCACCCATTCTTTTTGCCTTGTAGAAAGTCTAGCATATTGTTTTCATAATCAAGTTATTTGGATAACAAAACAGCAATTTAGATTAGGATTTGTTTACACAGCTAAATATGTTGAGTAATGAAATTAAAATGAGCTCTCTGCTTCTGTCACATCTGCAATAGTAACTGGCTTCTTATGGCTGAGTACAAGCCTGCTGCACAGATGTTTCTTGATAAGGTATAAATCAGTGTTAGGTGCTGTTTATTGCAGCGCTTTTACTGCCTTCTACCCTGAAGGAGGGAATGTTGCCTGCACAGCAACCAGATGTGACCTGTAAGACTGTACGAAATACCATTACAAGCAAAAACAGGTCCCATATTCCATATCAGCATCTGCAATGGGTCATCAAGTATTTATCAGACCATTTGAACAGTTCTACAGGTCCCAGCATCATACCACTGCCAGAATTTACTTATTATAACCTGCAATGAAAAAGCCACGCATCCTGTAAAGCGACTGGTGCCTGAAATAGTAGGAGATCCCATTTTAGTTTGGTTTCCTGCCTTAAAGGTCAAATTTCTGAGCAGACATTGCTGCTAGAAAGTAAGATACTGTGAGAGATCAAGGCAGCTGCTTTTCAGGGCATTGTAAGGAAGAGTTTCTCTTTTCTGCCATCCTGCCCCATGTGATATTAATCCTTTGATGGTGACAGGGGAACAGACTTATCCTGCACTGGTGCCTATGTGAGGAGAACTGAGACAAGGGAGCTCCTCACCTGGGGAAGGTGGCACAGTTTGCAGGGCCTTGCTAAATGGCTCTGCTCAGCACTGTGGGAGCAGGGGGGTCCAACAGGAAAGACTCACCAATGACCCAGCATTTGAAAACAGCCAAGCCTGGTCCCAGAGCCACACTGGCTCCTTCTCCGTAGCAGATGAAAGCAAAACCCATGGGCTCTGAAGGTGAGAGAGCCAAACTTTGCAAGACGTACTTCTTGGAAGGCTTCTTGAAGCAGAACCTGACATTTCTTATTTTAAAAAGAGGGAGGGATGCATTTTTCTTCCCTGAGCTAATCTGTGTCTCTGATTTGCTTCACTTGTTACATGGACAGATCCTGTCAACACAGAAATAATGCCAAGTATTTACAGTTTAATGGAACCCAGGGACCAATTAACAACACAGAAAACCACCAGGCAGTGTACTTCTTATTGTAACAGGAGGGAAATCTTACATTACTGCTGTTCTCCCATTTCTTAAAATAAAGCGCCAGCGCTTTGTCAATGATTTCTCAGTAGTAATGTTTATTATCTGGTAGTTTTACCATTGCCCATTTATCAATCGTTTTCCATGCGCTAGGTTCAGTCAAAACCTCCCTCTCTCTACTTGTACCCCCCAACCCCCAAAAGAAAAAAAAAAAAAGACGGAAGAGAAAAAACAAAAAAGGAAAAAGCAACTGTCATTAGGGCTTCAGACCAGCATTGCTAGAACCTGCCCTCAACCCCAAGTTCTCGAACTGCTGATTCCTCAATAGCTTGATGGATGCGATGCACCTCGTCCTGCGTTAAAGTCCTCTCCGGGTGGCGGTAAATGATACGGTAGCAATGGCTGACCTTCTTTGTCCTACAAAATATAAACCAAAAGAGGACTCATAAATACACGTGCCTACAAATGCAAATACATGAGGCCAAACACTTACCCTCTGGATCATTTTTTATCTGTGGTCTAATTTTGTTCCTGTTGCTTGAAAATCACCTTAATGCTAAAATACACAGTCCAGAGAGGTGGGAATGAGATGAATTTTAATTTTGGCAGAGGACTTTGCTGAAGTCCACCTTATACTTCAACTTGTATTGCGATGTGGTAGCTACTTACCAGAGCAAACAAGCCCAGGAGGAGGGCTATGCTAACACCACTGCACTGCTGCTGACACCACAGCTCTCTCATTTCCATGCTAATGGGGCTACCTCGAGGGAGCAGCGTGAATACACAGTCCCCTTAGACCAGTGGGGCTGGCGTGATGGGCATAAGGAAAATACCACGCAACCTCTGCATGCTGGAGAGCGATGTTGCTAGCTAATGTGGGGTGTCTCACAAGCCTCACCATCCAGGCTCCAGCCTGGGGAGGAGACTGAACACACAGCTGCAAAACAGAGTAAAACATTTATTTTTCAATTCAGGTGACTACTTTGCCTTCACTGGAAATTAGAAACAAGGGCAAAATGCATCTGAAGTCTCCATTTGTGGGAGGACAGGGACTCAGGATGAGGGTAGCCATCACTCCCAAAGTGGAGCACCAAAGGGCAGCGCCCGGGCACTGGCTGCACTGCACCAGAGGTGCAGGAGCATCCCAGCAAACTCGGGAAGAAATGGGGCGAGACATGACAGCACGCACACACGGCAAAATTTCTTACCCCTTGCTGTGGAAAGGAAAAAGCAAAAGAGACCAGGCAAAAGGAACAGAGAAGAGGGAAGGGGGGGGGAAGTATTTAAGAGTTGCTGAGTTAGGCGAAGACAAGTTAACGCAAAACCAGGAGCAAACCAGTAAGTTGAATAAGACAGCAAAAAATATTCTTGCTTTCCATCAAAAACAGGCTGGAGTACATAGCTCTTGCAAGGGCATCTCTACAATTGCAGTGCTTTTATTACTGAATTTAAATGGCAGTTGTGGCATCCTTTTTACTTTTAGTTTCAAATGGAGCCCACACAGCTTCTTCTTTCAAAGGTAAACACTTCAGTGAAAGAATGAAAATCTGAGGGGAAAAATAACAGGAAACCAGAGATCAAGTACTAGACAGAAGGATCTCCCAGACCGGTAGAAATCTGCATTTAATGGCGCACAAAAGCATCGAGCAAGCTTCAGGTCATCTCTCTCATGAAAATTGTTTCATGTTAGAAACCATGTTTATTATGACTACTTGATTAAAACTAAGGTTATATGTGCTCATACAAAAAGATAACTCTCAAGATACTCATTTCAACCTCAAATCCTGCTAGAAACAGGCACAGAGAGTTTTTATCTCAGAATAGCTATTTGATACCAACTTTGTCCCACCCAACATGGGTGGGAAGCTTGCCCTGCTCCCACTGGCACTTAACAACAAAAAGGTTTATGTCGAATTAAAGCATTCCTCCCTTTCTGCCTGCTCTGAAGATAAAGCAAGTTAAATCTAACTAGCATAGGAAAGGGCAAACTGCATTTCATAAAGTGTTAAGCTGACTGCAGTTAGCTGCTAAAAACCAGCCGAGAGGTTTCCCTGTGTGCAGGTTAAATGCTGTAGAAAAGTGATCTTCTTGAAAAGAGGGGGAGGTGTAACTGCGGAGGTGTTGCTCTGCTCTGTTCCACCTCTGCAAAGCAGTCGACAGGACAGATCTGGGAGAAGCAAGTAAATGGAATAACAAGGGTTTGGCCAGATGCTACATTGTAAGAGAGAAATTTGAGTAGGAGAGAGGGATAATGAATTGGGGCTCAACAGAAACAATGTTCAAAACCAGGCTGGCAAACACCATTACAGCTGGTAGTATTTCAGCTTTTAACCGTGCTACAGCAACCCACATGATCAAAAACATTTGCAAATTGCTTTGGCTGAAAATCTATTTAGAAGATGTACAGTCACAGGCCTGATCCTGGAGTCTTGTATATACTGGGAATATATCCCATGATGGAAAACTCATTACCACCATTTAACGTGATGTAAACACAAGTTTTCTTAACGTATTTAAGCTGTTGTAGGGGTAGCTACAGCACTCTTTCTTCACTGGTCATGGTTAACTGAAGGTAATGATTTCTCTTGACTCACATGCTTATGTATCCCCCTCCCTCCATCCTAGTGAGCAGTTCATTCATGGGCCAAATTAAATAGATCAGAATAGGATGCAATAGTTTCTTGTGGGTGTTGTGGAAAACCAGTGTCTTTAGGAGGCATTTAAATTAGGAGACGGTAGAGGTCTTAAAGAGCAGCACTGGACTAGAGTTCTGTTAGCTGCAGCTGAAGTTAAGCATTGGTGCAGGAGAAATAAAACTGGGAATGCATTAAATGTAATTACCTATTTTAATTATAGCCAAAAGATGATGTAACTACTAATACACCTTTGGCTACACATAACTCACATGGTTGGTATGTTACATCCTTTCAGCTAGGTTTATTTGCATCTATGTTATTAATTAGAAAGAAGTATAATGGTTCAATGCTATTTCAATAAAAGACACACTGTAAGTTTCAAAACCTTAGACATTGTTTTCAGAGCAGTATTACCTAACTTTTCAAGGGAAATGGGGAAGAGTACTTCTTGGCTCTTCTCCCCCTAATACTTACTCCCTGCCCCAAATAAAATACTAAGACAATGTGATTAATCACTGCCGTCAGCTGCAACTGGAAACAATTATTGTCAGCAAATAATACATGTTTGCTGATTCCCTTTCTTGCTTTCTTTTTGTTCTGCAGAGTCACAGAGTGTTTGCCTACCTTAAAGATGGCTCTGCTAATGCATAATGAACTCTCTGCTGCATGTCATGCTGCAGCCTGACGATACAGAAGCAGTAGCTCTCTAGCCTGAACTACAGAAAATTTGAGGCCAAAACCTAGAACAGCAGCTTCACCAGGTAAAAAAAAAAAAAAAAATTAGAAGCTTAACAGTGAGCGCATTGGGCTTTATTTACCTAAACTGCACTGCCAGACAAGTCCATGAGGTTCGCAGTCACGCGGACTCCTCTCCCATTAGGCTTCAGCTGATCTTAGTGTCACAAGTCTCCTCTGCACCAGCCTGCGGCTTTCAGGTAATGAAACGCAGTGAATACAGTGAAGCACTGCTCAAACGGAAAAGGAAGACAGGGATTTATTCTGATGCTGCAGGAGGAAACAAGAATATGTCTGTGAACAAACACTGGAGAGAAACAATGCCTAATGCTCTTTCATACATTTTTTGGAGGAAATAGCTTTGCCTCATGATTTTCAGGAATTGGCATGCAGCCGCCTCCACGTGCAAGGGAGCTGCTCACTGCCAGGTCAGATTCACTGCATGGGGCCAACCTGAAGGTCAGTGTATACATTTCGATATTTCAGCCTGATATCTGAGCACAGCAAGAAATTAAGGGGCCTTAGTCTGCCACTAGTGTCATAAAACAAACATGAAAGCAACCTGACACTGGGACCAGGGCTAGAATGAAAGGGTATGTTAGGCAATATAAATTAATACCTGTGTGTTAGCTCTCCCTACACCAAGTCCACTGAAGGATGTTGTCGTGGTTTTAAATACAACTTGGCTAGAAAGCTGAACCCAGAAGCTACCAACAGCAAAACACCTAAACGTACTGGGGAATCTGTCTCAGTAGGTAGGTAAGACTAAGCCACAGGTCATTTGGTAACCAAAATGTTGCCTAAAGAATAAATGCCTGGTACTGGCATTTGTCTCATCCACATGCAATACCATAATAAGAATGAAAATTTCTCCATCCTGTACTTGAAGAGGGAGATAAAAGGGGCAGTGGGGAAAAAACCCCACTTTTTAACTGTGTTCTACTTTCCATCTGTCTTAAATAAAGCACAGAAGCACAGAGACCTCTGTAGGGAGGTTACCCCTGCTCTTATGTGGTGAGGACACACAGAACCAGACATTTTTCTAGAAAGCTGGATTTACTTTGGGGAACAGAAAAGTAGAGATGATGATCTCCCACAGCATCACAAAGCGAAGAAGAGTACCACCTCTTTTGTACTCTGAGCAGTGCACTAAGCAGTACTACTCACCACCATACCTATATTGAACCTTCTCCTACAGAATATTATTTAAAAATAAAGATCTACACACATAGTAACGCAAGTATTTGAGATTATTCTCTCTCTGTTAAGTGAGTTGTGTTAATGAGGTTCTTTAAGGGTCTCTCAATTCCTGCCATAGCAGTTTGTGTCCTATATCTCCCCCCAAAGATTAATTATGTAATTACCTTACATAAACCTTCACACAGTACTCATTGACCACTACGTGCTTCACAGAGATCACATCGTGCTCTGAGTATGCATGAAATGACCTCGGGAAAGAGAAAGGTTTGTTTTGTTTGCAACAATGTCCTGAGAGGGATAACGATGGGAAGAAATTAAAATACTGTCTCATGTTACTAGCATCATAGTTGCCAAAGCCATGTGGAGAGCACAGCTTTGGTTTTGCTTTGTGGCTCCAACAGTTCCAGAACAGTTCATGTTTTAAGTGGAAATGGGGAGGAATATTAAACTGCAAGAAGAAGAAGAAGAAGAAGATGATGATGCAACTACCTTTTCCTTTTTGTTTCATGCTTTCAAACCACATCTACAACTGCTAAATGTCATACTATAAATTTTAAATTGACAAATAGCATTCTTTGCTAGGAACCACATAATGGAAAATGGCAAAAGGTTTGTGCTATATACCTTACTGTCAATGGCAAATAATTTAATTACCATGGTGATATGCGTGAAGAATATAGCAGTAATTCTCTGAACAAAGGCCTTTCCTAAAGATGCATTCTCATCAGTCCTTTCAAATGCTAATACTCCATTGCTCTGGAAGAGTGTATTGTATACAACAGCATATTTTAAAAAATGGACATGTTTTTTTGTAAGGTGATTTCGATGTTAGTGAAAGGCACTAGA